TGTGCAGTATAACACACGTGGTCATCACTCGGAGAAGATCGTTTGTTTTTTGAAGCCTTGCCGGAATTTGCAAAATTCACCATTTTTTTATGCCCTCTCGCTATCTTTCCGAAAAGCCTCTTGCGAAGTTGTAAATGTTTTTTTCTTAGTAGTAATTGGATTTCTGACGGCTTGCAAAAAGATGGCATGCTTAGGATATATTCCATCCGTAAGATAATATAGCAAATTGTACAATGTCCCGTTTACCTTGTACTCAACTGGTGATGCCGTGCCGTTCATGTATTTGTTGAATAACAACAAATGATCTAAAAAGGTGACATCATTATTTGTGCTCGGCATCCCGAAGAATGCATGTCATATCCATAGATCCTGAGATGCAACAGCCTCCAATATCAATATAGGGTACCCATAACGTCTATTGTACTGGCCGCGCTAAGCAATGGGACATGCATCCCATCGCCAATGCATACAGTCTAACGAGCCAATTATCCTGGGAAATCAACAAAATTTGTTTTCATATAAGAGACGTGCAAGATCCTCAGTAGTTGGGTCACATTAATATTGCTCTTTGTAAAGTTCAATGATCGAATCACATAACTCCAACATTGCCCTTTGAGCTGTTGTGCCCCAAATCTTTACAACTTCGTCGACGTTATCAAAACATCCATAAGCGAGAACACGCATGGCGGCCATAACTTTTTGCAATGGTGAAAGGCCTATTCGATTAGTACAATCAGGTTGTTGTGTGAAATAGTGATTATGATTGCAAACATCGTGTAAAATTCTGGTGAATACCTCACGACGTATGCAAAATCTCTGCCAAAAAAATTATTAAGGAAAACGAGGAGTCTTAGACAGGTAGTCGTTCCATAACTCTTTATGTCTCCCTTCACGATCACGATAAATGTAATTCCGTCGCTGAGGTGCACCTCTAGCTCCAATATCAGAAATAAAAGGTAAGAGTGTTGTAATGTTTCGAGTTGATCACGTTCAAGCTGTAGTAGTAGAAGCCTCATCCGTCTTCTCCTGTAATCACTCTCTTGAACCATCGATTGAAAGTAGAATTCTTCGTCGACATGTTGACCACCATCATCATCACTATCCATATGTTGGAGTGAAAGGAAAAAATTTAAGGTAAATTCACTTGTTCAATTGAAGATATAAATGTCCGTAAACCTTAAGTTATAGCAATACGGTTTTATAATATGAGATCCAACAACCAATCTTTAATACAATGGGCATTAGTAAATATAATTGGATTTAAAGTGATTGATATAAAGAAAATAAATGTACAAGACTTGCAATTAATACACATTGTAGTAATAGGAGCATGAAAAGAAAAAATCTGCACACGACTTGACATGCTTTTGCAAACTAAGACATACTTTATGTAAGAAAAATAAAGAAAATAAATGTACAAGACTTGCAATTAATACACATTGTAGTAATAGGAGCATGAAAAGAAAAAATCTGCACACGACTTGACATGCTTTTGCAAACTAAGACATACTTTATGTAAGAAAAATAAAGAAAATAAATGTACAAGACTTGCAATTAATACACATTGTAGTAATAGGAGCATGAAAAGAAAAAATCTGCACACGACTTGACATGCTTTTGCAAACTAAGACATACTTTATGTAAGAAAAATCAATGCACACTTTCACACTTGCAACTTGCAAGAATTGATAATTTACTTAATCTTATTGTGCATCAACAATAAGTGCAAACCCGTCAAACAGAAAAGACAAATATTATATTTATTTTGCTCTAAATTGTAGGAAATAGGGAAAATATAACAAGGAATTGAATATGAGAAAATGAGCTATGCCTATTCACACAGCCTATCTCTTAAAAATATTATATGCATAGCTGATACAACAATTATAATAAATAAGCTTAGGCATTGTGTTGGTTTATAATAACTATTTATTAGATTGATACCTTCTTGAACTAACTTTTGATTTAACATCAATATACATTACACAACCACCCCTGCCTCCATATGAGGCAAGCAACAATGCCAATAAAGCAAGCCTCATGGAAAACTAAAGTTCAAAAGGTAAAATGATATAACACATATAGAAGCTAGTATTCTTAACCGAAGGAATTACATGAGTGAATTCGCTATTATACCATCGAGCACTATTAAAAAAAACACTTAAAAAGATAATATGAGATTATTGTTTGTATTGCAACTGTCATTAGGAAATTTTGACATAATAGTTCTTGAACTATTAAAGTGAACTTCAAAGAAGAACTCAATGAGAATTTTATTGTTCATAGTAAAATATTTTACAAAAATAAATTAATAAATAAAAATGATTGAGGTAACAAATACATAGAGTTCGATTCAAATTAATGCACCTGTAAAAATATAAATTAATGAACCTGTAAAGTTATAAATGTACCCAAAATCTCTGCAATCACAAAGGTACAGACAACAAGATTTAGTTCATATGTATAATTACACAAACTTACTGATGATTATAATTTATTTGGAGCTTACACAAAAAGTGACTCGGTTGAATTTAATATCCATCTTGCCATATGCTTGATGGAATAGAGCTATTTAATGAATTATTTGCTACTTACCTATAAAGAAAATTGATTGGACTATGTCTCTTTAGTTCACTGCATCTGGTAAGTAATTAAAATGGAGCAAATGAATGAATAATAGCTCACAGTTTTTGTAAAATTAGGAAGTTTAAAAAGTTGGCGGGAATAGTTCCAGCCATATTGTTTACTGACATATCACTGCATGAACAATTACACAATAATTTAAGCAAATGTATACTTAAAAATAAATAAATTATATTTCATTTTATAGGTCCAAAGCAATATAAGAACTTATATAGTGGTAATATTTTTAGAGATAGTACCATTTGGAATTGTTCCATTATGCTGGTTGAAACTCAAAACTCTGAAATTCACAAGGGCAAAATTATTAAATAAAAAAAAAGGTATAACAATAACATAAATAAAAGGATGTGATATGCCTCTGGTTAATTTTCATGAAGTTTTAAACAAGTTATGAATGGATCAACCCGTAAGAGGAATGACTAGTTATATATGCAGAGCTAATGGAGTCGAGACAAGAAAAAACAAATACAAACATGTTTGATAACTCCCTTCTATAAATATGCAAATCTATTTCTCACAAGACGGTGCTCTTTCTTTCACGAATACAAAAGGTTTGATAACTCTCTTTCACAAAAATGCAATCTACCTTCCAAAAAAGGTACTTTGTATATATTAGTACAGTCATTTGCAGATTAATATCATATATTGTTTAATAGGTAAAGAAAAATCACACCAAACAACTTCGATAGAGGACTATTGAGCCGAAAGTAATAACTTAGACTATTATGTGTCCACCTACTTACATATAAGCAATATGTGGCCTACTCCTTCAATCATGAATCGGACTTTGTAAACTGCAGTTCCTCATACTCTTTATACAAACAAATAAAGCTGATTATTAATAAAGAATTATTATATATATATATATATATATATCTAAGAATACAACTCGTGCACATTAATTCTCAAAACTTATGAGAAAAGTTCAAATTTATAGAAAGGGAAGCGCTTGAAAAACTGAAAAATTACTCAAATATAGCATACAAGAAATGACATAAAATGGAACAAAGAGAATAATGCCAAGTTAGATATGTTTCCATATGAGCACGGTAATGGATTGCCACAAAAGTTGTTATTATCAAGCTCTCTGTGAACACCTATAAGATCCGAAATTATTTGGAGGTACTCAAATAGAAATTGAAGAAAAGAAGAAAATATGAGAGAAATCGACAAAAAGATCCCACCGGAGATCAATTGGATATAGGTTGTCCGTCACCCACCTCTTTCAAACGCCGGCAATCGCCGGTTTGATTGGGATGAAAGATTTTGCGAAGATTGAGAATCGATTGGATACAAGTTGTCCGACGCCCACCTCCTTCAGATGCAATCCCCCGTTCATTTGGGATGAATCGCTGGTTTGATTGGGATGAAAGGTTTGACGAATATTTGGAGATCGATAGGATACAAGTTCTCCGTCGCCAACTTCCTTCAGACGTCGGCAATCGCCGGTTTGATTGGGATGAAAGATTTGGTGAAGATTGGACGTGAATATTGTGCGCGATGAATATTGCGAGAAAGAATTTCGAAGGACTAAAAGAAAAGAGCTACTGTGTTTGTTTTGAAAATAAAAATCGATACATATTACATTAGAATTTACACATAAGATACACTTAAACAAATGAAGGTTTTTAACCGGCCCACCTAAGAGCACATACAACGACACATAATAAATAGGGGCATATTCTTTTTGTTTTACTTTTTTCTTATACTCCTAACGATACCATTTTTTATTTTTATAAGTAGGGTATCATTTTCTAATTTAGTAACTGTAATACTTACGTAACATAATAAATACATTTATAACTTATAATATATTACACAAATACTATAACTTTTATAACACACCATACTAATAGGAGCATTTTCGTTTTTTTTTTTTCACTACAAACTAATACAATATTACTATTAAAAAATCTACGTCCAAATAACAAATGTGTTCTTCCTGCAGGATGGAGGGAGTACTATTTTTATTTTTATATGTTTCACTTTATTTATCATTCTTTTTTTTTTTCAGTAAATATGATTATATACTTTAATTAAATTTTAAATTTTATAATTTATAATTTTATAATCTTAATTATATTATTTATTATCTATCATTATAATTAATTTTATTATACTATAATTATTTTTATTAAATATTTTTTAATTATTTATCAATTATATTTTATTTAAATGATCGAATATACAATAAATCTGACACATAAAATATTGAATGAAATTTTATAGTAGTAATTATTTTGCTAAAAAAATATCAATAAAAAAATGTGTTTTGAATTTTGAGGGGCTGAATTATGAGCAGCTTCGTCTTCCCCCTCAAAATTCAAAATTACATCTTTTAAAATGCGATTTTGAATTCCTGGGAAGACGAAGCCCTACCCGTTCTTGCACCGTCCAATCTCCAATTCAATCCAGCAATGACGACGAGAAGATCCGCAGCAGCAGCAGCAGGAGGAGGAGGAGAAAACGCCCGATGCCCGGCGCTGCAGCTCGTGATGGAAAAGGGTCCGCTCGAGGGCCAGATCAGCGGCTACAATCCCGGAACCGTGGTCAAGATCGGCCGGATTGCTCGAGGCAACACGCTGGCGATCAAGGACGCCGGCGTATCCTCCAAACACCTCCTCATCCAGGTCGAACCCGCACCGGATGGAGGACGCCATTGCTGGACTGTAACTGACTTAGGGTCTTCCAACGGGACATTACTGAACGGCGAACAGCTGGAGGAGTCGGAGCCTGCCGTTCTCGCGGACGGCGACGTCGTAAAACTGGGTGAGTTGACTTCGATTAGAGTTAAATTCGAACCGATTGTGGACGAGAGTAGGTCTAATTCTAGAAATGTGAGGAGGAACGCGAAGCGTGGGAAGGGTGCGGCTGCGGAATTGGGGATAATTGATGAGAACTCTGAGTTAGGGTTAGGGGAAGATAATTACGCAGAAAATGTAACTAATTTGGTTCCTGAATCCATAAACGAAAAGGAAAAGTGCCTGGGAGGAACCAAGGATGAAAAATTGGGGACTGTAGTTAACGAAAATGTGGGAGGAAGAACGACACGGGGATCTGCAGCTGCTAAATTAAGGAATCTCGACAAAGTTCATGTGAAAGTTGAGAGTGTGGAGATTGTAAGCACTAGGAGGACTAGAAGTTCAAGGAAGGAAGAAAATTCGAGGAGTTTGATGAATAAGGTCGATGAAGGTAATGAAAATTTGAGGAGTTTGATGAATGACGTTAATGAAGGTAAAGAAGATTCTGAAGCTGAGGTGATTCGAGGAAGGAATGCGAAACATAGAGGGACTAGAAGTTGTAAGAACAATTTGGGTATGTCTGAGGATTCGAATGCAGAGGAGGACAAAGATTCCGGGCAGAATGAGCTTGATGAAGATAATGAAATATCTGCTGCCATGGCAGAGATAGAGGTAGAGCAAGGGAGGAATATGAGGAGTTCGAAGAATGAGGCGAAAGGCGTGCAAATAGCGAGCATGAGGAGTACAAGGAGTTCGAGAAAGGAAGTAAGTGTAAGCAAAGTTGGAATCGATTCGAGTGTTATTGATGGTAAAATGACGAGGAAGGGTCCGAGAGGGAGAAAGAAGCTGCCTCCCCGAATCCCCGAGGAGAAAGAAGAACTGAATTTGGAGAATCCGAAAGGTGAAGAAGAGGAAAGGGAAACCGAAGCTGATGGTGTTTCGGGATTGCCTAGCTCATCTGGGGTCGAGAAAGATGTCAATGGCGTTGGGAAGGGGGAAGTTTCACTTCCGGATTTGGAGACGATGACAATGGGGGAGTGGTTTGATTTTCTTGAATGGTTTCTCCCTAAGCAGATTATCGATGAAACGGAGGCCATGATTTCTGAGTTGAAGCGGAAGGCGGAAAGATTGCATAAGTATAAGATGGACAAGAAGAAATGCTAAAGGCACGATAAGAGTTTAGATTAGTTAAAAGTTTAGATCTAACCTACTATTTGCATATAATATTGTGGAATCCAATTTGCGCGAAGGGGATTGATTAGCTCCGGATATGGCTACTAACGGTGATGCTTTTAACTCTACGCACGATAAATATGGTTGCCATTTTATCTAAGCTCACTGATTTTTTTTGTTATAGTTCTTAGATGCTGTAATGCTGTAAGTATTTGAGTTCTAATCTGGTTATCGATTGAGCTATTGACTTATTTAGTTGCAGTGTAGTTTCGGTTTTTCGAATGGCTTCTTATATTCAGCAGCTTATAGTCTCTTTATGTATTCTCTAAGTTTTCATAATCTATTGATATTAATTCAAAATCTTTATGATAATGAAGGGATTCGATAATTTTGCAGCTGAACAATGGTAGAATATCTGATTTGGAGGGCGACTGCTTAAATCCATATGAATTTTATCATTTCATGTTGACTCTGTAATTCTTGCTGAGTATTTATTACATGGGCCATTCCGTATCCTGTTTCTTGTGATGGGGCATTGGATCATGTTTCTAATATCACTGCTTCCATACTTGTCTCGGCAGCATCTTATTGACGCCACTGAAGTTGTTTTTAGAGTGCTAAACTTTGAGAAAAAAACTCGGATTTTCAAGCTGTGTTTTTATGTGGTTTTCTTTGTTCTGGTCATTACAAGGCTGCCTTTTTCTGTTACATATGTATGCAGTATTCAGTGACGATGAAGAAGTTCCTGGTAATGTGTTCGATTTTAATTGAAACACATTTATCCGGCGGATAGATTTCTCATTAAACACTTACAACTGTTTGATCAGCAGAAGGAGAACTGAGTAAGTATCCATTACCATTGGCAGATTCGAATACATTTTGTTTAGGGAAATATATATATATATATATATGTATATATATGGTTTCTTGAATTTCTGGTGTCATCTAATGTAAGTAATATGATGCTTTCTGGGAGATTTTTTGTAAAACTGATTGTGATTTATGTCTGTTGGTTTGGTTTCGGGGTAATCGATTGAGCTATCGACTTATCTAATTGCAGATTCATGTAGTTTTCGATTTTTCGAATAGCTTCTTAAATTCAGACCCTTTTATGAATGATCATCTTCTTTTTCATTAATAGAAGCAGTTGAAAACTCACATGAAATCTTCACTCCTTTTTTTTTTCACAGGAAACTTGCTGCAGTCACCTGTTCTTCAGTCTTTGAATACGAGCTGAGCCAAGCTAAATTTATTCGATTATCCCACCGGAGCTTCTCAGCCATGGCTGTTGCAGAGAAAGAAGAAGATTTTCATCTGAGGAAGAGCATCATCGGCAGCCACGAGAGTCAGTACCCGGTGGACTCGAATTCTTACAAGATTCTCGATGAAATCGGGAGGGGTGTTAGTGCCGTCGTCTACAAGGCCATCTGCATTCCGATGGGGTCTTCGATCGTGGCGATCAAAGCCATAAATCTCGAGCGATCGAGAGCCAATTTGGACAACGTCCGGCGCGAGGCCAAGACGATGACGCTCCTCAGCCACCCGAACATCCTCAAGGCCTACTGCTCCTTCACGGTCGACTGCCGACTCTGGGTGGTGATGCCCTTCATGTCCGCCGGATCTCTGCAGTCCATCATCTCCTCCGCCTTCCCCGACGGCCTCTCGGAGCCGTGCATCGCCTCCGTTCTTAGAGATATCCTCTGCGCGCTATCGTATCTTCACCAGCAGGGGCTCTTGCACAGGGACATTAAAGCTGGCAACATTCTTGTCGACTCCAATGGCTCGGTGAAGCTCGCAGACTTCGGCGTTTCGGCCTCCATATACGAGTCGTACACTTCCTCCGGCTCCGCTGCGTCGAACTACTCGCATTCTTTTATGCTGACGGACGTCGCAGGTAGAGATACGAACCTTTCTGTTCGTGAACTTGGCTCGATTCGCATCGGTTTAAGCTCTTTCGTAAATATAAACAAGCCGAGTTGAGTCGAGCCGGACAATATAAATAAGCTCGTTTTATTAACAAACGAACTTGAACTTTGTTCAAGAATGTTCGTTAAAATTACATATGCTCATGAAGTTAGCTCGATTCGCCTTGGTTTAAGCTTGTTCGCAAATATTAACAAGCCGATCGAGTCGAGTCGAACAACATAAATAATTTCGTTTTATTAACAAACGAACCTGAATTTTGTTCGTGAACATTCATTAAAATTACACACGTTCATGAACTTGGCTTGATTCGTCTCGGTTTAAGCTCGTTCGCGAATATAAACAAGCCGAGTCGAGCTGGGCCAAACAATATAAATAAACTCGTTTAATTAACAAACGAACTTGAACTTTGTTCGCGAACATTCATTAAAATTACATCTGTTCATGAACTTGGTTCGATTTGCCTCGGTTTAAGCTCGTTTGCATATATAAACAAGCCGAGTCGAGTCGAACTAAACAACATAAACAAATTCCTTTTATTAACAAATGAGCCTGAACTTTGTTTGCCAACGTTTATTAAAATTACATAGCTTGAATGAGCCCAAACGAGCTTAATTGAGCTAAACACGAATACGAGTTCAAACAAATTAATATGAGTTTTGTTCTCAAATCTTAACAAATGAACACAAATATTTAAAATTCTGTTCGATTCGGCTAGTTAACAGCTCTGTCCGCAGGTACACCTTACTGGATGGCGCCGGAAGTTATACACTCCCACACGGGGTACGGTTTCAAGGCAGATATATGGTCATTCGGGATAACGGCGTTGGAGTTAGCTCACGGGAGGCCGCCGCTGTCGCATCTGCCGCCGTCGAAATCGCTGGTAATGAAAATCACGAAGAGGTTCCGGTTTTCGGACCACTACGAGAAGACGAAGGACAGGAAGAGCAAGAAGTTCTCAAAGGCGTTTAAAGACATGGTCGGATTGTGCCTCGATCAGGATCCGTCCAAAAGGCCGTCTGCTGAGAAGCTTCTGAAGCATCCCTTCTTCAAGAACTCCAAGGTAAAGCTGTATATGACGAAGTATTTACTGATTTGTGAAAAGTAATGACTATTTTATTCAATTTGTTTTGAATTTTAAAATAATTTTCATATTTAATTTTAAATAGCTTTTAAACGATTGAATTCGATTTTTTAAAATATTATTTAAATATTTGATTTGATTTATTTTCATTTATTTAATTCAATTCAAAATTTTATAATTAAAGATTTTAACAATAATATTAAAATAATTTGATATAAGAAAACTGTATGTATCTATTATTTACTATTTATTCTTTTTCAAATTGACATAGAAAGACTTTTTTACTTTAATAAAAATAAAATTAGAATATGTGTTAAATATTTTTTACATTATATTTCAATAAAATATGATATAATATTGATATTATTTTGTAAATAATAAAATTTTATATAATACAAATAAAAAATACATATATATATGTAGTAGTTATATAGATAAAAATATTTATTTGTTGAAAAAATATAAAAATAAAAGAATTTTGAGTAAGTTCTATGAGATTAAAAATATAATTAAATTGACTTAAGTACGTTTTTTTGAGGTGAATAAATTTATTAAAAATATTTATTTTTATTATGTATGTATTATTTTTATTATCGAATCGAATATTAAAATTTTATGTTTGTATTTGATTCATATTGAAATGAAATCGAATATCAGTATTTGAATTTCAAATCATAAAATTTTGAATGCAAATATCAAATTTTCGAATCAAATATTAAAATTCTATATTTGCATTTGATGCAAATTCTAATGGACTATTTGAATTCATTATAAAATTTTGAATACAAATATAAAAAATTTTGGTCGAATAAAATTATTTGATTCATTTACAATTCTACTCCAAGGGTCCCGATTTCCTTGTCAAGAACGTGCTGTTGGGATTGCCGGCCATCGAGAATAGGTTCAAGGGGAGGAAAAAAAGTAGCGACAATGAAGAAGATGAAGACGACGACTCGCCTTTGGGCGAGAACGGGAAACAGAGGAGGATAAGCGGATGGAACTTCAATGAGGAAGTCTTCGAAATGGATCCCGTGATTCATCCTCTTTATCGTAAAGACTACAGGTTAGAGTTGTATATGAATCGAATCGAAATGAATACTACAAGATTCAATTCAATTAATGAAACTATTCGACAATTCGATTCAATTTTGATTCGTTTCGAATTTTAAAATGCTATTTGTATTGGTCATATACGAATTGAATCGAATCGAATCGAAATGAATACTACAAATGCAATTCAATTTATGAAACTACTCGACATTTGATTCAATATCTGATTTGTTTCGAATATTAAAATGCTATTTGTATTGGTCGTATACAAATTGAATCGAAACGAATATTACAATATTTGATTTGATTCGTGAAACTATTGGATTATTCGATTCAATATTCTTAAAGTGCTATATCTATTCGATTTGAAATAAATTTTAAATTATTCAATTCAATTCAATTTTTTTTTTAAAAAAAAATTTAAATACAATTTTAACAATAACATTCAAATACTCTCTTCAATATTTTCAATAATACTATTTAGATAACTTAATAAAAAATACATGTACTTACTATTTATTTAATTTGGAATGTATATTCTATATTTTACAGTAGTATTATTTATATACATTTTTTTTTTAATATCAAATCGAATATTTACAAATATCAATATGGATATTAAAATTTCACATTAAATTTGTATTTGATTCATAAATTAGAATCATAAAATTTCGAATATGAATATCAAATTTTCAAACCGAATAAAATATTTGACTAATTTACAACTCTATTGCAGGTTCGAAGGGCAACCCGCAACGCTGCAAGAAAAGGGCAACGAGGGGTCGTCGGAAGGATCAAATGCCAGTCCGCGGCAGAATAATTTGAACGAAAAGCGTGCTTCGTGGGGAAATGTTATCGACGTGGGAGTGGTGCTCGAAAGCTTGATGCTTTTGAAGAAAAGTTTCGACGATCAAAAGCAGCGCGTGTCGCAGATGATCGCGTCGATTCGCGGCGAGGATTTGCCGGAGACGAACCCGGAGGAACAGCTGTTGCAGGTGGTGGAGCAGATGAAAATGGAGGTAGAAAATGAGAAGAAAAAAAGAGCTTCTTTAGAGATGGAATTGGAGTTTCTTAAGCTCCAATTTTCCAAAGAATAAATAATATTGTTACAAGTTTGAATTTAAATACGACATTTTATAAATTTAAAAGTCAATAAAATAAAGCTCCGATAGTTTTTTTTAGTGTGACTTATTTTATTAGTATATTTTTTATAAGTTTTTATATTCAGTTGAGTTTATTTTGTACACACTCGAAAAATACTAATTGTTGTTTTTTTACTAACTAGTAAATGATCGAATTTAAATTAATAGTCGGGTAGAATGTAGTGTGTTATGAAAAATATAATATATATTTATAAAAGTTTGTGAAAATTATGCAAATTAATAATTTTTTTAAAATCTTAAAAGAATTAAATATACTTTTTAATTCATATACTTTCTACTAGAGCAATTTTTATTTAAAATTTATCAAACAAATTCTTCAAAAGTTTTTTAAGACTATGTTTGATTTAATTCCGATTTTATAGTTCAGCTCTCAATTTTTTTCTTTTTTTTTTCCAAAAATTTCATTAATTGAAATTTATTTTTATCTTTCGTCTCAATAAATAAATATATTTATATATACAAAATTCTTCATTTTTAACAAATTAATTTTTATATTAATCATGTATAGATATATATTAATTTATTTATATTACATAAAATTTTATTTTTAAAAAATAATTTTCATATTAAATAAATTATAAATTTCAAAATATTATATTTTAAATTTATTTTAATTATATATATATATTAAAACATAAATAAATATCAATTTTTCCATTATAAATCCTTCCTTTAAACCAAATATACCCTTGTGATATAATTACAAAATAATTTTTCATAAGTTCTAATCTGGATATATATATATATTTAAATTGGTATTTAGAAATATTAATTTAAAAATTGAACTAATTATATTGTTAACCATAAGTTCAAAACCTTCTGCATGCTAATTATAGTGCTGACTAGTGAAGACAATAACAGAAACAAAAAATAAAAATCAGATCAACAACTTATTTTACTTAAATATTTAAAAAAAAAACACCCACAATTTTAACACTACTGATAATTTCTCAAAGTGCTTGTCAATTTCACCATCCATTGTTATTATTATTATTAAATAATATTATACCTTTAAAAAGTCTTCATTGAAAACACCTGTTCACCAACTTCAGCTCAAAATTATTTGAATCAAATAAATAAATAAATAAATTTATTTGTAAAGATATCACTACAAGAAAAAATTATTTTTGTAACAAAATGTTTTTGTCTTTAAATATACTTTTTTCTTTACTAATGACATTAGAGACGGAATTAGTAATATAATTACGTTAGCTATGTGAACTTTAGGGACGAAATTCCGTTACAAATATATTATTTTTTTTTTTGTAATGATAGCTATGCGTATACATGAAATTATTCATCCTTAAAACACTCATATATATATATATATATATATATATATGCGCGTAACATTTCAGTCCTTTTAAAAATAATTCAATCATAGTCAAATCTAAAATAATCTTTCAAATTAGTCATATAAGTTTAATTAATTTGTTATTTTTTGTATTTCCTTTTAAGCCATGAAAATCACTTATCGACCAAGTAAAAAATTTGGAAAATTCATTGCAAAGTGGTAATATAATTTTTGTCAATAAAAAACAATGCTGTCGTAGTATGACCAACAAAAAATGTTAATAAGATTCTAAGGGTTTGTTTGGTTACCAATACTTGTTGATATTATATGATTTCAATTATTATTTTTTATTTTATGTCATCTCAACTATTTTTTTTTTAAAAAAATAAAATATGCTTACAAGATCTTATTTCTATTTTTATCAAAGTATGCACATATATTTATATACATTTCAATTTTTTTTTCTCTAAAATTTAAGTTTGTCCAAAAAAAAAAAAAGAAGGCAAAACAGCAAAAAAAACCCCATGTAGTTTACCGAATCTGCTAAAAATCCCCCGTAGTCCTAAAATTCCAAAAAACCTACTCGTGGTTTGTAAAACGTTGCAAAAAATCCCCCCCTCCATTAGGATTTAACGGAGGTTGTATACCACGCGCTTGAAATGCAATTTTTTGTCTATAAAGTGATATATTTATGTGTAAAATTACTGAAATACCCTAATGACTTTTTCTTCTTTATTCTTCTTTCTCCCTCGTTCTTCTTCTTCCTTATTCTTCTTCTTTCTTATTGTCATCATATTTTCAGAATTTACTCTAAATTCATTTTTTTTATTTAAAATCCGTTAAATATAACCAAATTCGACACCGATCCCAAATTTATCACAATTAATCAACCGGACATGGATCTTCTTCTATTTTACCAAACCCAGAAATATTTCTTCTTGTGTTTTACAAAACCCAGAAATAGCAAACCCAAAAATTTAAGAAATCAATTTGACATCAAAATTTGAAATCAATCTAAGAAGAAAGAAAGAAAGAAAGAAACGGCGTACGGAAGAATTAGGGAGAAAAAATAAAAAAAAAAAGAAATTTGGGAAAAAAGAGATAGAGAAACAAGAAAGAGAAACCTGTTTGCTTCTAGTTGCAACGGCGTACGGAAGAATTGGAGAGAAAAAATAAAGAAGAAAGAAAATTGGGAAAAAAGAAATAGAAAAAGAAAAAAAAAAAATTGGTATCCGGCCCTTCTTCCTCATCTTCTTCTTTTCCTTCTCTTCTTTCTTCTCTTTCTTTTCTTCATTCCTTCTTCCCTACTTCAGTCGCTTCTGCCCATCATCTTCTTTCTATTTTTATTCTTTTCCAATTCTTCATTCTTCAAAGAAGAATTGGAGATGAAGAAGAAGAAAAAAAAATTGAGGAAAAAGATGTGTGAAGAAGAATTTGGGGAAAAAAAAAAGATGGAAAAAAGAAGTTGGGGAGAAGAGAAGAAGAATGAAGCGAAGAAGAAAGAACAGAAGAAGAGAGAAATAATTGGAGAAGAAGAAGAGAAAAATTGAGGAAGATGTGTGAAGAAGAATTTGGGGAAGAAAAGAAATGGAAGAAAGAGGTTGTGGAGAGAGAAGAAGTGATGAAGAAATAATAGAAGAGAGAGAACACAAGGGCATAACGGTTTGATGAGGGTAAAATTTAACGTCAGTGTGATTTAAAAGGGGGGGGGGAGAGTGCAACATTTTACAAACCACGAGTAGGTTTTTTGGAGTTTTAGGACTACGGGGGATTTTTAGTAGATTCGGTAAACCACAGGGGGATTTTTTTCTGTTTTGCCAAAAAAAAAAACTAGAAGCTCCACAAGCATATGCATATATATTTATAGACAACGGGTACAATGATAAATATTACATTCAGCGTTGTTCTGAACAGCACCCAATAAATACATAAAAAAACACACGATATTACTATTAACAACGCATTATTTATATTGATATAATAGAAAATAGCACGTGAACTAACAATGCATAATATAGATAAAGACAATACATGAAACATTTGATTTTAGAACATGACATACTCTTACGCTGTAATTATGAAGAAATACATGTCTTTATTACAGGCAACACATGTTACATATAATAAAAATATGTGTTATTTTTATATTTTACGCATACTATTTTAAAAAATCAACACGGTCAAATCAACATTGTAAGTCTTCCTATATTTATATATATTGGTCACATGTTGATTATAATGCATTCAACATGATGCTGAATTTACAAACTCAGGATATGATCCATGCAGCTCATTTAACTATATTATTTGGCGGCCACTATAACGTTGAATATAAAATTCAATACTGTATTGAATAACATACAATGTGCTAACAAACAACACACAATATTATTACAAACAATACATCGTATGTGTTAATATAATACAAATACAATATATGAATTAACACCACATGTTATAGTCTCATACAATACACACTATATGAATTGAACGAATGTCATGGGTCCCATGTAGGATGGCATTTCGCTGGCATGCGCACAGCGGCCAAAGTTTTGCAGTCAGGCTTCTTTTGGCCTACCCTACAAAAAGACGCAGATGCCTTTGCCAAATCTTGCGACAAATGCCAAAGATTGGGATCTATCTCGAAGAAAGATGAGATGCCTCAAACTGGAGTCTTGTTTGTGGATATGAGGGATAGATTTTATGGATCCCTTTCCACCTTCTAATGGGAGACAATACATTCTGGTGGCAGTGGATTACGTGAGTAAGTGGGTTGAAGCACAAGCGCTCACCACTAATGATGCTCGATCAGTGATCCGTTTCCTAAAATATACCATATTCCCAAGGTTTGGGGTCCCCAGAGCGATAATAAGCGATTGAGGAACCCATTTTGTGAATAAGGCACTACAATCTAGCCTTCAACAATATGGTGTTCGCCAGCATCTAACTACCCCCTATCATCCACAAGCGAGCGGTCAAGTGGAAGTTTCAAATAGAGAAATCAAACACATCCTCCAGACCACAGTAAATAAGAGTCGCAAGAATTGGGCAGAGAAATTGGATGATGCGCTGTGGGCCTATAGAACAGCCTTCAAGATTCCAATTGGAATGTCCCCTTATCGGCTTGTGTATGGAAAAGCCTGCCACCTACCGCTGGAACTAGAGCATCGCGCGTATTGGGCTATCAAGTATCTCAACTTTGATCTTCTCCCAGCACAGGAGAAGCGCGCCAAAAGATTGCTCGATCTGACCGAGTTCCGATACCTTGCATATGAAAGCGCGAAGATCTATAAGGAAAGGATGAAATTCTATCATGACAAGAAGTTGAAGAAGAAAGAGTTTACGGTGGGATCCAAAGTTCTTTTATATGACACTAGGCTCCACTTATTCCCAGGGAAATTGAAGTCACGGTGGACTGGGCCGTATATTGTCAGACAAGTGCTGCCAAGTGGAGCCATAAGGATTAACAATGTGGAGACCCCCAGAGAAAAAGATTCCTTCTTAGTGAATGGAGCGAGGCTGAAACCGTATATTGAAGGGCCTGTATTGCAGCAAGCCAATGCAGAGATCAATCTGATTGAGGTTCAGAAGCTCAAGCGATGATAGAATTTCGTGAAAAAAATCCAGAAGCCTAATCTTATATCCGCCAAATTTACAAGCTTTCTTTTATCGCTTTCCTAGTTAGAATTTATCGCTTTCATAGTTAAAATTTACTTGCTTTTCTTTATCGCTTTCATAGATAGATTTCATAATTTCATCGCTTTTATAGT